ATTGATGGATGGGAAGAAGTGTGGTTAGATAGATGGATGGATGGATTGATTGATGGATCGGTAGATCGATGGCTGGAATAATGGATAGATGGGTGAATAGGTGGATGGATGGATGGATGGGTGGGTTAAGTAGGCTGGGTGAATGGATGGATGGATTGGTGGGTTAAGTAGGCTAGGTGAATGGATGGATGGATGAGTAGCCTGGGTGAATGGATAATTGGATGGGTGAGTAGGCTGGGTAAATGGATAATTGATGGGTGAGTAGACTGGGTGAAAGAATGGATGGATGGGTAAGTAGGCTGAGTGAATGGATGGATGGATAGGTAAGTAGACTGGGTGAACGGATGGATGGATAGGTAGGTAGGCTGGTTTAATAGATGGATGGATGGGTGAGTAGGCTGGGTAAATGGATGGATGGATGGATGGATGGATGGATGGATGGATGGATGGATGGATGGATGGGTGGATGAGTAGGCTGGGTGAATGTAAGGATGTATGGGTGAGTAGGCTGGGTGAATGGATGGATGAATGGGGGAGTGGGCTGGGTGAATGGATGGATGGGTGGGGGAGTAGGCTGGGTGAATGGATGAATGGATGGGGGAGTAGGCTGGGTGAATGGATGGATGGGTAAGTTGTCTAGGTGAATGGATGGATGGATGGATGGGTGGGTGAGTAGGCTGGGTGAATGGATAGATGGATGGGTCAGTAGGCTGGGTAAATGGATGGATGGATGGGGGAGTAGGCTGGGTGAATAGATGGATGGGTGAGTAGGCTGGGTGAATGGATAGATGGGTCGTAGGATGGGTAAATGGATGGATGGGTAGTAGGATGGGTGAATGGATGAATGGGTAGTAGGATGGATGTGGATGGATGGACAAGTAGGCTGGGTGAATGGATGGATGAGAAAGCAGGCTGGGTGAATGAATAGATGGATGGGTAAGTTGGCTGGGTAAAAGGATGGGTGGGTAAGTAGGCTGGGTGACTGGATGGAATGAGATGGGGATGGGGATAAGTTGGCTGAGGTAAATGGATGGATAGGTAAGTAGGCTGGGTGAACGGATGGATGGATAGGTAGGTAGGCTTGGTGAATAGATGGATGGATGAGTGAGTAGGCTGGGTAAATGGATGGATGGATGGATGGATGAGTAGGCTGGGTGAATGGATGGATGGATAAGTAGGCTGGGTGAATGGATGGATCGGTAAGTAGGCTATGTGAATGGGTGGATGGGTCAGTAGGCTGGGTGAATGGATGGATGGGGGTAGGCTGGGTGAATGGATGGATGGGTAAGTTGTCTAGGTGGGTGATGGATGGGGTGGGTGAGTAGGCTGGGTGAATGGATAGATGGATGGGTCAGTAGGCTTTGTAAATGGATGGATGGATGGGGGAGTAGGCTGGGTGAATAGATGGATGGGTGAGTAGGCTGGGTGAATGGATGGGTGGGTAGGCTGGGTGAATGGATGGATGGGTGGGTAGGCTGGGTGAATGGATGAATGATGTGGGAGTAGGGGGTGAATGGATGGGGGGTGTTGTCTAGGTGAATGGATGGATGGATGGATGGGTGGGTGGGTAGGCTGGGTGAATGAATGGATGGGTGGGTAGGCTTGGTGATTGAATGGGGGAGTAGGGTGGATGGATGGGGAGTAGGCTGGTGGATTGGGAGGATGGGTAAATGGGTGGTAGTAGGATGGGTGAATGAATGGGATGGATGAAAGGATGGACAAGTAGGCTGGGTATGGATGGATGATGGGTGGATTGGTAGTTGGCTGGGTTAATGGATGGATGGGTTGGTCGACAGGTGGAAGGATGGATAGATGTGTGGATAGATGGACAGAACGACAAATAGGCAGACTGAGATAGGTAAAAAAGCAGCGAGAAAATAGACTTCGGCATATGGAAAGGGACACAGACATTGACAGACAGACAGACAGACAGACAGACAGACAGACAGACAGACAGACAGACAGACAGACAGACAGACAGACAGACAGACAGACAGACAGACAGACAGACAGACAGACAGACAGACAGACAGACAGACAGACAGACAGACAGACAGACAGACAGACAGACAGACAGACAGACAGACAGACAGACAGACAGATATATATATAGAAAGACAGACAAAAAGAAAGACCGACATAAAGAAAGACAGACCGACATATGGAAAGACAGACAAACCTTTAGAAAGACATTCAGCTGAATCAGATGTCTCTTGTGTAAAGTTAATATAAACTTCAGACACCGTTAAAAAAAAAGCAATCGAAAATATATACTGGGAGACACTGTGATGTCTCACCGTGACTCATTGATTTACAAACTGTGATAAACATAAAACTCGCATCCTCATATTCACAGAGAAACTAACGATCCCAGTCACAGGGTTTTTTATTTATGGGCAAACTACACAGACCGCATATAGGGGCGACACAACCTATAGGTGTACGTAGTATGACACCGTGGCCTGAGAAGAGGTTTCAAATGGCTGCGAAAGAGGAACTATAAACAGGTTTAAGGTTTGAACAACAGATCAACATCATGGCACACGGTTAGAAACCTACAAGTGCTCCGTTCTTCTTCTAACTCAAGTCTGAGCCCGAAGAAACTGAGCACAGTGCACAGGTTCTGTAGCACCGGCAAGGATCCTGAGATACTTTGGGGAGATTTTTAACTCAAATTGTTGCATGTGAATTATGGACAATAAGTAAACAGGCGGTTGGTTTCTGATAAGAATGCAAAGAACATTATGAAAGGGGTAGTTAGCATCTCTTGGATATTTTCTCCTGGTTATGCTGGTGTGTTGGGAAATGAGCAGGCAGGTAGACTGGCTGGCTCTGCACCACTTGGTGGCGAATTGATATATGACAAGTTAAATATTGTGAGGTCCCTTAGGGAGAGAGTGAAAAGTGCGGAGGCGCAGATAGATCGTTACGATCTAAGGAGAATGGCGCTGCGAGGAGTTACCAAGGGATCTGGCCGACGCTCAGCACTCAAGGGAAGGATGAGATGGATATACAATCAGACAGTTACTGGTACCATCGGAATTGAAACTCTCCGCTTGCTGCTGAAGATGGGGATTGAGCACTTATGGGAGTGTCTCGACTGCTGTGAAGTCGATTCCTAATTCAAAATTCAACCTTCAACATGGAAGGGGGAAAAAACGAAATTCTCTTTATTGAGTCAAATGAAAGTCAACAAGTTTGCTCAGTGACTCATTTACCATGCCATAAAGGATCTAGGCGGTGTAGATGCGAAAAAGGGGCCGCCTCTGATACAGCACACCGTTTCGCAAAATCAGATTCGATTTTCTCTCAGGGTATACTGGTTAGTTAGTTAGTTAGTTAGTTAGTTAGTTAGTTAGTTAGTTAGTTAGTTAGTTAGTTAGTTAGTTAGTTAGTTAGTTAGTTAGTTAGTTAGTTAGTTAGTTAGTTAGTTAGTTAGATAGATAGTTAGTTAATTAGTTAGTTAGTCGATTTTTCAACATCACCGCAATGGGGTTTCCCAAAACTTGCTTCGTTCCTATTCAGAAAGCATGCTGAGAAAGATCAGAACAGGCATGCTTCGTGCAGAGTGGTATGCTTCGCTGCGGGGGACACGGGTGAGGAGTATTGTCTGGATATTTTCACCGGGGTTGCGCCGGTGTGTTGGGAAATGAACAGACGGACAGACTGGCTGGCTCTGCACAACTTGGTTGAATATTGATACATGATAAGGCAGACGTGGTTAGTGCCTTGTAGGAGAGCTTGTACATTTCGGAGGAGCAGATGGATCACCACAGTCTGGTGAGATTGATGCAGTGACGAGAGGTTCTGGCAGATGCTCGAGGCCCAGAGAAAAGGACAAGACGGACGTTTAATCAGAATGCTACTGTCATTATTAGAATCGGAACTCTTTGATGGCTGCTGAAGATGGGGACGGAGCGCTTAAGAGAATGCCCCGAGTGCTGTGATGTCGGTTCTTGAATCAAATCAATCAAATCATTGTTCCGTTCCTGTGTTAGTGCGAATCAAATGAAATATCCCTAACTGTCCTATATGACAAACTATGAACAAACAAATAGTTCCGGAACAATCCAGAAATATGTGCACGCAGTAAATGCTTATTTCAGTTGCTGGAGGTGACAAAGCCAACAGTCGCCACCAGAAATGCAGTTTGTCGTTGATGGAAGTAGTCAGGCACGATAAGTTGGATATACACCACGTCTTACATCCTCTCCTCCACGTCCCACACCCTCTGCTCCACGTCTTACATCCTCTCCTCCACGTCCCACACCCTCTGCTCCATGTCTTACATCCTCTCCTCCACGTCCCACACCCTCTGCTCCACGTCCCACACACTCTGCTCCACGTCCCACACCTTCTCCTCCACAATCCCACACCCTCTGCTCCACGTCCTACACCCTATCCTCCACGTCCCACACCCTCTCCTCCACGTCCCAAACCCTCTCCTCCACGTCCCACACCCTCTGCTCCACGTCCCACATCCTCTGCTCCACGTCCAACACCCTCTGCTCCACGCCCCACACCCTCTGCTCCACTTCCCACACCCTCTCCTCCACGCCCCACACCCTCTGCTCCACGCCCCACACCCTCTGCTCCACGTCCAACACCCTCTCCTTCACGTCCCACACCCTCTGCTCCACGTCCCACACCCTCTGCTCCACGTCTTACATCCTCTCCTCCACGCCCCACACCCTCTCCTCCACGCCCCACACCCTCTCCTCCACGCCCCACACCCTCTGCTCCACGTCCCACACCCTCTGCTCCACGTCTTACATCATCTCCTCCACGCCCCACACCCTCTGCTCCACTTCCCACACCCTCTCCTCCACGCCCCACATCCTCTCCTCCACGCCCCACACCCTCTGCTCCACTTCCCACACCCTCTCCTCCACGCCCCACACCCTCTCCTCCACGCCCCACACCCTCTGCTCCACGTCCAACACCCTCTGCTCCACGTCCCACACCCTCTGCTGCACGTCCCACACCCTCTGCTCCACGTCTTACATCCTCTCCTCCACGGCCCACACCCTCTGCTGCACGTCCCACACCCTCTGCTCCACGTCCCACACCCTCTGCTCCACGTCCCACACCCTCTGCTCCACGTCCCACACCCTCTGCTCCACGTCCCACACCCTCTGCTCCACGTCCCACACCCTCTTCTCCACGTCCCACACTCTCTGCTCCACGTCCCACACCCTCTGCTCCACGTCCCACACCCTCTCCTCCACGTCCCACACTCTCTGCTCCACGTCCCACACCCTCTGCTCCACGTCCCACACCCTCTCCTCCACGTCCCACACCCTCTGCTCCACGTCCCACACCCTCTGCTCCACGTCCCACACCCTCTGCTCCACGTCCCACACCCTCTGCTCCACGTCCCACATCCTCTGCTCCACGTCCCACACCCTCTGCTCCACGTCCCACACCTTCTGCTCCACGTCCCACACCCTCTGCTCCACGTCCCACACCCTCTCCTTCACGTCCCACACCCTCTGCTCCACGTCCCACACCCTCTGCTGCACGTCCCACACCCTCTGCTCCACGTCCCACACCCTCTGCTCCACGTCCCACATCCTCTCCTCCACGTCCCACACCCTCTGCTCCACGTCCCACACCCTCTGCTCCACGTCCCACATCCTCTGCTCCACGTCCCACACCCTCTGCTCCACGTCCCACACCTTCTGCTCCACGTCCCACACCCTCTGCTCCATGTCCCACACCCTCTCCTTCACGTCCCACACCCTCTGCTCCACGTCCCACACCCTCTGCTCCACGTCCCACACCCTCTGCTCCACGTCCCACACCCTCTGCTCCACGTCTTACATCCTCTCTCAACTTAAATACAGCACTTACAGCTCGCAAGTTGACACGTTTAAGTAAGTGGCTGTCCTGATAACATCAGACAGAAGATCAAACTGAAGAACATTCTATGCAATCTTTCTTTGTCAACTGAAGTGAGATCGAGAATTCTCAAGAGCTATATAAATTCTATCCTAATATACAGAACTGAATCGTGAGCGTTGCGAACGCACTTCGTAATGCCGGGGTGCCGGGTTCGATCCCAGCTGCGGGTCTTGGCCCTTGCGTTAGTTCCGATATCGGTATCCAGAAACCGACCGTTCAGGAGCAATGGTAAACTACTGGACGTAAATTTGCCTAGTAAAACCAAACAGGCAAAAAAATGCTGGGGTTGGTTCTGCAACGTCCTGTAAATGATTCGCAACTAATTAAAAGTTATCTGATCAGTTTACACACCCACACACACCCACACACACCCACACACACACACAAAATTATTTGGAAGCTGCGAGATGTGTTTTTATAGAGATAACCACAAGAAAACCTTGTAAGTGATAAACATTACTTGAAAAACTAACTTACGAAGAGATCTGATTGCCTATATCCGAAGGAGACAATCTACATTCCTTAGTCATGTTATAAAAAGGAAAAGAACATGGGAAGAATGGAGGGAAGCAAGGCAGAGGGTTACCGAGAGGGAAAATGTTGGACTGTTTGACAGATTGGTATGGGGCACTGGTATGTCAGACCTGACTGAAAGTACACGAGAGGGAAGGTTGGCGATAGATATGACTAAAAACGCCACACGGCATGAACTATTAAAAAAAAAAAAAAAACAAGAATATAGGTATGTGAGTATGTTTTTTTCCTAAATGGAAGTACCAATTTTGCTGGAAAAAAAAAATCGTCGCGTTCAACATGTATCACTAAAAAAAAAAAGGGGGGGGGGAGGTTTATGTTATAATTGTGACTAGGTTTTGTGCGCCAAATAAAATGGCTCAGCATTGCAGACAACCAAAAGTCCTGGATATGTTGAGTTGTTTATTAGTGTTGATGCAATTTAGGGTGACAGACCCAAATACTATCCCAACGGCGATGAAGTCGTCTACCGGCGAGTCATTGGGGGACCCGGTCTCCGATGTACGTTACCAAAACACAAACCTATATCTCTTATGAAGACAATTGCTTGGAGCTCTTCAATTCAGAAGTAGGCAGGAAAGATAATCCCAACAGCGTTAGAGTGTCATGACTTCTCACTTATCTCCCTTCTACAACACTCTTTAACCACTCGGATACTTTTATACAGATGACACTTTACATCAACAACACTTGACACTTCACAACGTATAAGTGTCATCTCTCCTTTATCTTTGAAAACATGAACATTCAAAAAAAAAAATATATATATAGTACCATGTTTCATTAATCGTAAAAGTGTTTCTTGGGACAGAAGTTGACTTGTGTTGAGTTAAGTCAAGAATTGAATTCACAGCACTCAGGGCATTCCCATGCATGGTCCGTCCTCATCTTCAGCAGCCAGCGTAGAGTTCCAGTACTGATGGTACTGGTCATAATCTGGTTATATGTCCGTCTTGCCTTTCCTCTGAGTGTAGTGAGCCGGCCAGACCCTGTGGTTACAAGCAGGTGCCTCATTCTCTCCAGGCTATAATAATCTTGTTTCTCTACTGATTCCGTTGCTTGTTCCCAAAGGGCCTTGACCACATCTGCCCTGTCATGTATCTGTTCACCATCCAGTGGTGCAGATCCAGCCAATCTGTCTGCCTGTTTATTACCCACCACTCTGGCATGGCCTGGAGAAAAGATTGGAACATAAGTGTGGACCATATAGTTACACGTTTGTGTTTGTCTGTTGTGAAAATATGGAAGTTCGCCCATAATTGTTTGGTTACAAGAGTGAGTCCCAAAATTGGACGACATTTTTGTTTGTTAGTCCCTACCTCAGCTCTCGTCGGGAGTCCTAAAATAACCAAACGATTGAATGGGGTTACTAGGACTTGTGCATGGGTGAATCTCGTCCGAATAATGGCACTTTGTGTCACCGGGTGTTTATCGCTCGTTGTAAGGTACTTGTAGGGTTGAATGTCGCATATTTGCTATCATCAGTCGTGTGGGTTCCAGGGCCCTGGTATTATGGGTGGGGTGGGGGGAATTATACCTACTAACCTCTTACACAGTCCTTAAGAAAGAGAATAGGGGCTTTTGAGTTGAAATGCTATAGAAAGATTCTCAGAATATCTTGCACGAAAAAGAGGAGAAATACTGACATCTTAAAAGATCTGAACATCAAGGAGGACTGGCTAATAAATAGCATCCTGTCTCGGAAGCTTAAACATTTTGGTCATATTAAGCGCCACGACGGATTTAAAAAAAACATAACAGCAGAAGGCATGGTACCAGGAAGGAGGGGCAGGGGCCGACCAACACGAAGATGGGCACAGGATATAAGTGACTCCTTGAGTATGAAAGTGCATGAGGCGGGAGAGCTGGCGAGAGACCGAGTTTCTTTCAGGCAGACCGTGATGAGAGCGACGTTCTGAAAAGACCTGCTACATGATGATGATGAATCATTAACAAGAATGTCGTAAAATGTCACTAGTTCTGGAAGTTTCCATCGAAGTCAATGCACATCTGCCTGTGAGGCAAGGAACCAACAAGCTGCACTCAAATAAGTAGATCTAAAAAGCTCGTGAACGCGAGAAGCTAAGATCAGCCGATCCGCTACCCGCTAGAGAATATTCAGTTTGAATCCCATAAAGGCGCATGTCGACCCAGCCTAAAATAGGTACAACAGAATACTACTACTGCTAGTGGGAAGCAATGGCGGCCGGCATGATGTTGCACATATTGCAAATCGAGTGTCGATTGATCTACTCAAAAAAAAAAAAAAAAATGGTCTAGTGCTATGTTTGATTTACCAACGTCATGAAAAGAGTCGTTACTATTTAGTGGTTAGTCGTTTGCTAGTCGTTAATTAGTCGTTAGTTCTTCTTGTTTTGAAAATACATGCTTTGTGGCGTTGTTAGTTATGTCTATCCACAACCTTCTGTCTCGTGTACTTTCAACCAATTCTGACACAAATGATCTCCCATACCTTGTGGCGTTGGTAGTTATGTCTATCCACAACCTTCTGTCTCGTGTAGTTTCAATCAACTCTGACACAGATGGTCATCCATACCTTGTGGCGTTGGTAGTTATGTCTATCCACAACCTTCTGTCTCGTGTACTTTCAACCAATTCTGACACAAACGATCTTCCATACCTTGTGGCGTTGGTAGTTATGTCTATCCACAACCTTATGTCTCGTGTAGTTTCAATCAACTCTGACACAGATGGTCTTCCATACCTTGTGGCGTTGGTAGTTATGTCTATCCACAACCTTCTGTCTCGTGTACTTTCAACGAATTCTGACACAAATGATCTTCCATACCTTGTGGCGTTGGTAGTTATGTCTATCCACAACCTTCTGTCTCGTGTACTTTCAATCAGTTGAGCTGCGTTTAGTCAAGAATTGACATCACAGCACTCGGGGCATTTCCATGCATGTCCCGACCTCATCTTCAGCAGCCAGTGCAGAGTTCCAATACTGATCGTACTTGTCACAATCTGGTTATATGTCCATCTTACCATTCCTCTGAGTGTAGTGAGCCGGCCAGACCCCTGGTTACTTCCAAGTGCCTCATTTTCTCCAGGCCATAATAATTGTGTTTCTCTACTAATTCCGTTGCTTGTTCTCAAAGGGCCTTGGCCACATCTGCCTTGCCATATATCAATCCACCACCCAGTGGTGCAGATCCAGCCAATCTGTATGTTCATTACCCACTACGCCGGCATAGCCTGGAGAAAAGATCCAAAGTATGCTCACTACCCGTGACCTTCCCAGTGAAGCTTACCACTCTGCTCGAAGCAACCCTGTCTTTACCTTTCTCAGCATGCTTTCAGAGTGTAATTTCAATCAACTCTGATTAATCGTTAGTTAGTCGTTTATTAGTCGTTAATTAGTATTTAAGCGTTAACCGTTCTAAGTCCTGAAGAAAGCGACGTTCTGTAAAGTACCTGCTGACCGATGATGAGTTGACCATGAACGGTCGACACTACACACATTTGTCGAAATCAGAGTGAAAGCGGCCTTACGTGGTTTTAACTTTCTCCCCAGAATCTTAGTAATGGCGGGAGTCGCTTTCATCGCCATTGTAATGGTTGTCATAGCAACAATCAGCTTTGTATGTGTGGAGACAACAACATCAACAACGGTGAAAGAGGATTATGGGTACGAGAAAGGTAGAGAGAGTTCTGACTTGTTTTGTCCTGTGTTTTTATGTACTTATTAGTTTAGGAAGGGTCAGGTGGCTCGGTCACACCTGAGGAATGGAGAATGGAAGTCGAAGGCGACATACATTAAAGATGTGTGCAAGCAGGACATGAATGATACACCTACTGAGGTGGACAGGGAGTCGCCGTGGCAGAGCGGCTAGACGCGAGCCGCGGATCGAAAGGTCGTGCGTTCGCTCCCTGGAGGAGCCGGACTGTTCTTCAAAAAATGACCTTGGCTCCCAGGTCGACCAGCCTTGAGTGGGTACCGGGTGCAGTCCCAGGAAGTAGAAGCGGCCGGCGTTATGCTGACCACATCACCCATCTTGTGCCGTTGGTCTATAAAAATATAGGTCTAGCCCTATATGCCTAAAGGCGTGGAAAGGGTCCTATACTTTTACTTTACTTTTACTTACTGAGGTGGGCTCGTGGGAATAAAATGATATGGACCGTGTTGTATGAAGGGGGCATATCAGGAAAGGAATAAGAATAAAGGAAAAAATGATTGCAGAAAGGATGAGAGCTGAGCATCTGAGAAGAAACTGACTAAACACAAATGTTGACAGCAATAGTCCCGAAACCCCATGCTATAATTGTAAAAGACTTTTCTTTAACGCGGGTGGGTCTTGCTAGTCACACTCGCCATCGCCATGGGCTGTGAGTCTCATGTCTCCTCATAGCGCAATATAACACTATCGTCTGGAAAGACGGAAAGGGGGCAACCGTTTATGTACTTATATGTTAAAACGAGGGGTCTTTAAATTAAAACCCTAAAAGTTTGACATAAATTTCAATGACATGCTACGGACTTGTAAACTGTCAATACTGTTATACATTGTGCAACAGAACGTTGCTCCTCTGTGGTGCATGTCAAATATTTGGTGACCATCTTTAATCTATCAGTATGACCATAGTGTGGTCGTCTGCACCGTGATATTACTTGCTTAACACTCTTTACATGCTTAACAACAACAATATGCCCGACCCTAAACCGGCTTTGTTATTTTTAGCCCAGAAACTCCCTGACAACACGGAAGTTTTAACATAAAGCACTGCCTTACTGCTATTCTTAGTTAGGGCAAATTCACAGACTCAGACAGTATCACTGAATGTTGGAAATAAGAATCGACATCACCGCACTCGGGACACTTCCATAAGCGCTCCGTCCCTATCTTCAGCCGCAAGCGAAGGGTTCTAATTCCAATGGCACCATATGTGCGTGTGTGTGTGTATATATATATAAACTGGAGTACATCGTGACAGTAGGAAAGTTGGAGGGAAGAAGAGGCAGAGGGCGACCGAGAGAACAGATGATGGATGGTTTGACATCATGGTATGGAAGATCATCTGTGTCAGAGTTGATTAAAAGTATACGAGACAGAAGGTTGTGGATCTACATGACTACCAATGCCACACGGCATGGACTATGGAAGATCATCTGTGTCAGAGTTAATTGAAAGTTCACGAGACAGAAGGCTGTGGATAGACATGACTACCAACGCCACACGGCATGGACTATGGAAGATCATCTGTGTCAGAGTTGATTGAAAGTACACGAGACAGAAGGTTGTGGATAGACATGACTACCAACGCCACACGGCATGGACTATGGAAGATCATCTGTGTCAGAGTTGATTGAACGTACACGAGACAGAAGGTTGTGGATCTACATGACTACCAATGCCACACGGCATGGACTATGGAAGATCATCTGTGTCAGAGTTAATTGAAAGTTCACGAGACAGAAGGCTGTGGATAGACATGACTACCAACGCCACACGGCATGGACTATGGAAGATCATCTGTGTCAGAGTTGATTGAACGTACACGAGACAGAAGGTTGTGGATCTACATGACTACCAATGCCACACGGCATGGACTATGGAAGATCATCTGTGTCAGAGTTAATTGAAAGTACACGAGACAGAAGGTTGTGGATAGACATGACTACCAACGCCACATGGTGTGGACTTAAAAAAGAAGAAGAAGATACAGTTTTTTTCAAAAGGGGGCGGGGGGGGGGGGGGTTTGTGGCTCAAGCGACCTTTGCCACAAAGTTCCAACGCCTTTAAAACAGATGTTCACAAATATGCCTGAAGAGATTAGGTTCGAGTTTACTGCCTATGGGTTTTTCCTCAAAAGATCTTGGAGACATTACACCCAACCTTCAGTAGGATGATGACACTTAATGACAATACATTTTTTTGGCACCTATCAAGTCATTAATCTCTTTACATAACATAATGTATTAGTTAACCAATCACAATTTTCTCTGTTTCCACAGACCCCACCTACTGGCATAATGTGGCCCAATCGGAGCTAGAAACGTCACTTAAAGAACCCACAAGAGGCGTGGCCAAAAACGTTATTTTATTCCTAGGCGACGGAATGGGCCCAACGACTGTGACAGCTGGGCGGATCTTTGCCGGGCAGTTGAAAGGTTTAAAAGGGGAGGAACATAAGCTTAGCTTTGATCAGTTCCCATTTACTGGCCTTTCAAGGGTAAACAGTTGTTTGTTTCACCCTCAAGTTCTTTATTAAGTGGCTTAGCCAATCATCATTATCATCATGCGTGTTCAAGTTTCTGGGCAGAGCGCAAGTCTTGCATCGTAGATCAATAAAATTTTGATAAGGTAGGTAGTTGTACCCCACCAGGACGTCACACAAGCAATAAACACCCGGTGACACAAAGAGCCACCATGCGGATGAGGATCACCTGTGGAGAGGTCCCAGAAACCCCTTTTAGCCATGCCATATTTATGGCTCGGCTATATTTAGGGCCCTCGGCTAAAGCCATGGTGGGGCTTCAAATAAACAAAAAATTGCATCACATTTGGGGACGACTATATATAAAAAACAATTATGATAAGAAAATTGACTTGTATTGATTAGCACTTACATAAAGACGCAGGTAGAAGATAAAAAGACAAAATGCAAATAGGAAGATATAGTTAACATACTGGGACTCGAACCTGCCACCTCCAAATTATGACAGTGCCTTGTTTCGAGAACGTTTACCTGCTAATTCTCGAGGGGGGAAAAAACGACCCTTTAAATGTCGAGGAAAATGACAGCGAATTGTGTTTTTTTAGAATGTATTTAAGGGACATTAAAGACAATTAATTTTCAAAGGGATTTAACTGCAGCGAAAGTTTACTTTCACTGATTGTTACATTAATTACAAGAAATGCACATAAACGCCAATGTGACTTTTGAACTGAACATTGAAGCCATAATGGCACCTGAAAATATAACCTGCCTAGTGGTCACAGTTTTGGATGAGTTAACAGTTGAATTAAAATATACACACAAACCAGAGGAAGGCATTCGTACTTTATAGTAGAGATAATACATCCATGTTCGCAACTTCGTCCTTCTTAGGATGAAATTTTTTGTCATTCGAAGCCCTACTCTGGCTTTTGCCAGGGGCGGCAATATAGGCAGGCCATCAGTATAGCCAATTGTCTGAACGCGGTTTCTGGGACCTCTCCACGGTGATCCTCATCCGCATGGTGGCACTATGTGTCATCGGGTGTTTATCGCTGGTGTGATGTCCTGATGGGGTAGAAAGTCAGTCAGTCAGTTGCGTATCCCTTACACGACTTTGCAGAACCAACCCCAGCATTTTTTGGCAGTTGTGATTTTTATAGGCAAGTTTATATATATACACACACAGTTGAATAGCCCTGGTATGTACATTCTGAGAAGAAGCCGGTAGATAAATCCCTAACATTAAAACAGGCACTTAAACAGGAAACAAATGGATTTAAGAGGCGAGAACGTGCAAATGAAACTCTAAGATGAACGGTGATGAAAGACACCACAGGTCTTAAGCTGAATTCCATTCATTATATTAAAATTTGGGGACAGGACAGAAAGGAAGTTTGAAGTTTAAACAACGGATCAACATCATGGCACAAGGGTAGTAACCCATAAGTGCTCCGTTTTTCTTCTAACTCAAGTCCGAATGCGAAGAAGCTCAGCACAGTGCACAGGCTCTGTAGCACCGGCGAGGATCCTGAAATACTTTGGATACATCTTTAACTCTAAATTTTGCACTGGCAGCGCCGTTAGGCTACACTTTCCGATTTCCAACTGCCAAGGGATTGTTTACGAGCGCAACAATACACACGGGCGTCCCATCTCACTTCCCAGAGACCAGGGGGAATTACTAGAAGTCCAGCTCCACGGATTGAACCTTGAACCTCTAGCACTCGAGGCGGACAAAGTGCCACGAGACCACGCAGCATCCTAGAACAAAAAGGAATAAAATTACAAAGTGCGATCCTTACTTCTTAAGGTGTGTGCAGTGTGGCGTTGGTAGTCATCTCTATTCACAATCTTCTGTCTCGTGTACTTTCAATCAGATGAGCTTACCTTTTTTGTTGGCAGTGATGTCTCTCCAGCATTTGAACCTCATCCGCATTGTGGCACTTTTTCACCGGGTGTTTATCGCTTGGCCTGGCTCGCTAGCGTAGTTGGTCAAACCGGACTTGGCGGCGACCGGGTGACGAGCTCCGTGCGGTCCAGGTTCACGCTCGGGGGTTCGTAAAAAAGCCACATTTTTCCCAGATTGACTGTATCTTTCATGGAATCAAGGCCGAAGGGTTGCGATATCCATAGTCTGTCTCGTGTACTTTCAGTCAACTCTGACACAGATGATCTTGCATACCTTGTGGCGTTTGTAGTCATGTCTATCCACAACCTTTTGTCTCGTTTACTTTCAATCAACTCTGACACAGATGACCCTCCATACCTTGTGGCGTTTGTAGTCATGTCTATCCACAACCTTTTGTCTCGTGTACTTTTAATCAACTCTGGCACAGATGGTCTTCCATACCTTGTGCCGTTTGTAGTCATGTCTATCTATGACCTTCTGTTTAGTGTACTTCTAGTCAGTTCGAAGTCATATATACGTTTTCATCTATCCACATCCAGACCTACAACGTCGACTCACAAATCACCGACTCCGCAGCCTCAGGAACGGCCTACCTGACAGGTGTCAAGACAAACCAGGGCATGCTCGGCGTAAGTGCCGCAGCAGTGAAATCAAACTGTGCATCCACTGTAGGCGCCCATGTCGACTCCATCCTCAGATGGTCGGCTCTTGCAGGTAAGGTCTCGTTCACGGGTTCCCAACCCATGGGTCGGGAAACTCCAAATAGGATCGCGAAGGGTTTTCTCTGGGACTTCCTTGCAGTTATGAGCTATGAAAAGTTATTGTAAATGTTTTAATGGTATCAATTATATATTATACTTTACAAATTCCTTATTCAACTTACATCTTGTGGGCGCCCTACGCTTTTATTAGCCGTGGTATCAAATTGTAGATAACTATTTGCAAAGATAATTAGCTATAATCGTTGTATCCATTAAATTATACGATAAAGATCACATACAATATAAATTGTATAAAACATGTCATTGTAAACATATTAAGTCAAATCTACCATAATATAAATTATTTTATATCTTATACGTGCAGTGGTTGTTGCATGCAAGATAAGTAAGGAAAGCGTAAGCAATATAAGCAAGATAAGAAATGAAAGCTTACTCAAGATAAGAAATGAAAGCTTATGCAAGATAAGAATGGAAAGCTTATAGTATTAAAAAACATTTCCATGTCTTTTGTTATGTTGAATGTTAAATTACAAATTTACATCACAGCACTAGGGACAGTGCTCTGTCAACGTCTTCAGCAGCAAGCGAAGGAGTTCAAATTCCGATGATACCAGTAACCGTCTGATTAATCCGTCTCATCCTTCTCCTGGGTGTTGAGCGTGGGCCAGATCCCCTGGTAACTCCTCGCAGCGTAACTCTCCTTAGACCGTAGTGATCTTTCTGCCCCTCCGCACTGTTCACTCGCTCCCTAAGGGCTCTCACTATATCTAATTTGTTGTCTTTTTGAATTATTATGAACTGTTGCTTTCGCTTCATCTATTCAACAAATCCACTAAAAGTTCACATAGTTTGCTCTGTTCTCCCATCTTTGCCAGGAAAATCAACAGGCGTGGTGACCACCACTAGAATAACCCACGCTACTCCGGGAGCCTCCTATTCTCATTCACCAGACAGGGACTGGGAGAGTGACAGGTGGGTCTTCTGGGTCCCGCTTGGATCCCTAGTTGATATGTGTGTGTCCATGTATGTGTGTGCCTGTGTTTGTGTCTTTGTGTGTCTGTCTGTATGTTTATGTACCTGTGTGTGTGTGTGTGTGTTTGTCTGTGTGTGTGACTGTGTATGTGTCCTTGTATTTATCTGTGTGTGTGTGTGTGTGTCTGTGTCTGTGTGTGCGTTCCTGTATGTGTCTGCGTGTGTTTTTGTGTCTCTATGTGTGTCCTTGATGGAGTCTGTGTGTGTATGTGCCTGTGTGTGTGCCCTTGTTATGTGTGTGTGTCTGTGTGTGTATGTGCATGTGTGTGTGTGTGTCCTTGTATGTGTGCCTGTGTGTGTGTCTGTGTGTGCGCGCGTGCATGTATGTGTGTGTGTGCGCGTGTGTGTGTGTGTCTTAGAATGTAGCAGTTGCCCTCAAAAAAGAGCCGAGGCTGCTAAACGACCAGCAATGGTTCTTTCTTAATATCTCACCCCAGATGACGTCACAAGAAAGTCCAACATTTTAGAGGGTGGTAAGACTGAGTTTCCCGGCTTTCGGATGTTTTTAACGACCCCAAAACATCTAAAACTAGCCCTAACTCCAACTTACCTACGTTCCACGAGAGAGTTCAGCCTAGGTCCCACGACTGCATGCAGCCTAGGTTCCACGACTGCATGCAGCCTATCTACCACCCCCTGAAATACTAGACTGTCCCGTGAACTGTGGATTTTCTCTGTTTGAGGTAGGATATTAATAAAGAACCATAGAAATCACTGAGGCGTAGAAGGGATGCTAGCGCATTAAGATGGAGCAATACAGTTGTTCAGGTTATCGAAAACAGTCTTACCACAAATCTTTGGACCCATCAAAGATGCAAAGAGCAGGGAATGGAAAGTGAGAAGCAACAACGACATTTATAATCTGTTTAAATCACCACTGATCACTGACATCATGAGAGCTAATTGACTGAAATGGTTGGGGCATATTGAGAGAATGTCAGATGACAGAGAAGTGAAAACTTCATACACAAGGGAGATGAATGGTCGTAGACCACGAGGCAGACCAAGAAGAAATTGGAGATAATGTCCAGACAGACTTGCAAACACTTGATGTCACTAACTGGAATATCTGCAGCAATGAACCCCAAGGGCTCGAAATGCTGAAGAAGAAGAAGAAGAAGAAGATGAAGAATACAGCTGTACAATTAGTAAACACACAAATAAAAAAAAAAATATCCTGAGGCATCGAAGACGTAGTTTTACAGAAAATTCCTTAGAATGTCTTGGACAATTAAAAAAGAGCAAGAAAGATGTTTTGAAAGAGGCGAGGGCTCAAAGCAAACCAAGTATTGGGACAGCTAGCCCCCCTCTTACAGCATAAGACAATCCCATTCAGCACAAAGAGACATCTTATTCAAAGAATATTTATTCCAACTCTGTGCTACCAGTGCCAGACATGGCCACTCACAACAAACCATAAAAGAAAATTAGTAACCATGGAAATGAGATGTCTGAGAAGGGCTGTAGGAGTGACCATAAAAGATAAGATCAGGAATGAGATCATAAGAGAAAACGTCGGCACAGAACCATTTCTAAATTACATACAAAGACAGCAAGTGAAATGGTTTGGCCACTTATAGAGAATGCCTTGTGACACCATACTATACAAAGCATACATGGAAAGAGAAGAAAGACGTAGAGCAAGAGGTAGACCAAGAACAATATGGAAGAATAGCATCAGAGAGACTTTACAACAGCACGATGTGCCTATGGTCGAGGCGGTCAGAAGAGCTAGAAACAGAACCTTATATCTCCCTCGACACCCACAGCGGTAAAAGAGGAAGTGAAGAAGAAGAAGAAGAAGAAGAAGAAGAGGGCTCAAAGACAACTTATCACAAACATCAGAAAGAGACGGTAATCATTGTTTTGGGTCATGTTATGAGAGGAAAGGAAACTGCAACATGTTGTGACCACAGGAAAGAATTGTGGAAAGAGAGACAGAGGAAGACAATGCGAGAAGAGACTTAACAGCCTTTTGTCATGGCATGGAGGGGTGTCAACACACGAACTGATACACGCAGTTGCGTTCCAGTTGTGGATAGGCATGATCGCCCACGCCATTCGGCAAGGCATTTGATAATGATGATGATAGCTGTGGAGCTAGACACAACGGAACTAAAAAAAAATAGGAAGCACGAACGGTAGAACACAACATAGCATCTAACAATGACGGACTGGTTAGACACACCCGCCCACAATTCACAGAAAGCGGACCCAGATTAAAATTATTCTCTTTTATCCATTCATCTATCAATTTCTCTGTCGTCAACATGTTATTCTATGTATTTAATCATTTATTTATTTATAAGTCTATTTATCAATCCATTTATTCATTTATCTATCCGTCCATTTTTTAAACCAGTTATCCATCCATTATTCATTTACTCATTCATCCCCTTTTCTTCTATTTGTCAGTTCGATTGATAAATCTATCTATCCACCTATTTAGCAACATTAATCTTTCAGTTTTTCAGCCATTCTTTGATCAACTTATTCACCAAGTAAGTCTTTTTTTTTTTTCATCCACTCATCGATTTATCGATCAGCATACCATCCATTTACTCATTCATTTATCTCTCTGTTTGTCCATTCATATGTGTATCCAGATCTCTACACGCCACATTAATCCACTAATCCACAGGCTTATACCAGAGTCAGAGAGATTTTGTGAGGACATCGCTCTCCAGTTGATTACACGCAACCAGGACATTAATGTAAGTCCTTCATCCATTAAGAAATCCACATTCATCCAATCCACTCCCGGGGGGCCGCGTTAGCACAGTCGATAGAAGAGTCGCTTTCAAATCCAGCTGCGACTCGCTGCAGCCACGGCCGGGGTTAGAAACCGAGCTGGTTCCCGGATTTCACCCAGCCTTTAGGTAATAGGTAACAGAGTTAACACTCTGGGGTGAATAAAGTTTTTATAAGGAGTAGAAAATTATAGGGAAGAGAAAAAGTTGGTAAGAAACAACAATTAGTTTATGTTAGCTTTACAAAATCGATCACAATAAACAAATAAAGGACGTTGCGGCGATTAGCCTTCATCAGCACATAAAGGACAACACAGTACACATACACAAATAGGCTCTAACTATGAAGTGACTACATAGGACTCTAATGTATAGAATAAACGATACTCATCTAGTGTCCCTGGCTGTAGCCACAGAGTTACGTTGCGACACAGGCGGACAGTTTCTTATCAGCTGTCCGTACTGGTGGCAGAGCACTTATGGTTTATAACCGTGTGTAATGACGCTGGTTCACATCTCCCGACTTTACCTTTTTACATTCATCCACTCATTAACTCTTAAGATCCCGTGGATTCTCGCAACAAATACCCAAGGAAATGAATAACTTATATAATCCATAAATGCATAACATTCTAACAGGAAAATTACGCAGCGGTAAATAGCCAGTATGGATAATAACTCCGTGAAGAGTGGCAAGCTTCGCTTTAGAGGTCCCGAGTGGTTAGTGTCTTTGTATATTTTTTCCTGGTGATGCCAGTGTATTGGGAAACAAGCAGGAAGATAGTCTGGCCCGTTCTGTTGGTGGTGAACTGATGTATGACAGGTCTAGATATTGTAATGGCCCTTTGGGAGCGAGTAAACAGTGCGGAGGCAAAAAAAAAAAAAAAATAATCATTACGAGAATGGCGCTGCGGTGGATTACATGGGCATCTGGCCGACGCTCAACACTCAAGGAAAAGGCGAGACAGGTGTACAATAAGACAGTTACTGGTCCCATCAGAACTGCAACTCTTCGTTTCCTGCTGAAGATGCTGACGAAGCGCTTATGGGAGTGTCGCGGATACTGTAATTCGATTCTTATTTCAACATTCTTTCTTGCGTAAATTGGCACTATGTTAGCAAGAGTACCAAAGAGAGGGACACTTACTTGCCCTAGCAATCTGGAAAGGTTGCCAAAGGCTTACTACACAATCTAAAATCACGAGGAGGCGAAAAGAAAGGGAAAAATTAACACATTATTATCCTACGAAACTTGTCATAGAAGCCAAACAGCAGCAAACAGATCAAAGTTAAAATTTTGAGAGCATGCATCTTCCTTGTAGCAACATAAGGATATGAGTCTTGGACTATCTGCCACGAAAGGAAAAGGGGGGGGGGGGGGGGGGGGGGGGGGCTGCGTGGTCTCGAGGCATGATGTCCGCCTCGAGTGCTAGACGTTCCGGGTTCAATCCCCGGTAAGGGCTGGGATTATTTCACGTGGACTTGGACTTCTAGTAATTCCCTCTGGTTTCTGAGTTTTGAGATCGGACGCTTGTGTGCATTGTTACGCACGTAAAGTTGGAAATTGAACAAGAGTAGCTTAACGGCGCTGCCCGGGCAGAATTTGGAGTTAAAAATCTGCCCAAAGTTTTTCAGGATCCTCGCCGGGACTACAGAGCCTGTGCACTGTGCTGAGGTTCTTCAGACACAGACTTGTGTTAGAAGAATAACACTAAATGTGTGTCATGATGTTGATCCGTATTGCAAAACTTCAAAAACCAGTTCTTTTGAAAGATAATAGTGGCTTTTAAACTGAAATACTATAGAAAGATTCTCAGGATAAAATGAAAAAAAAAAAAAAAAAAAAAAAACAGAGAAGAGAAAAAATACTGACATTCGAAAAAGATCTGAACATCAGGGAAGATTGTCTAATAAACAGCATCTTGTCTCGGAAGCTGAACTATTTTGGTCATATCAAACGCCAAGGCAGATTCTTCTTTCTTTTTCTTAAGTATTCCGAGCCCTCGAGGTTCACTGCTGCAGATATAACCCGCCTCTACTCATCTCTCTGGTTGGCCTTCTCTTTCCAGTTGGTGACACCAAGTGTTTGCAGGTCTGTCTGGGTATTATCTCTCCATCGTCTTCTTGGTCTGCCTCGTGGTCTACGATCATTCATCTCCTTCACGTATACAGTTTTTACTTCTCTGTCATCTGACATTCTCTCAGTATGCCACAACCATTTCAGTCTATTAGCTCACATGATGCCAGTCATCAATGG